AACGATTCAATTCTCCTCAAGGCAGAGGTGGCCTAGGTAGCTGTGGAGATTAAGAAAAGGAAATGGGTCCTGTTGGACAAACTGATTGAGTATGCGCCATTTACTTCAGCTGATGACCTTCTCTATTATGAGCCAAAAAGCAACAGATGTTGAAACAGAGCAGAACACGGTCGTCAGGAAATAGGCAGAAAGATGCAGATCTGCCTTTGGGAGGAATATTTCCTCCGGATTCAACGGACATCACAAAATAAAGACGTCCTGCTTATACTCTTAGCTTAAGAAACAAGTAGAAAGAAGCACATCAAAATCGGTTTTACCATTAAATAAACAAACGTATTTTTGTAATGAATAGTTCTCGGATTTGGTAGACAGATAGGGATATCGTTGACCTAGCAATTATGCTCTAAACCTGTATTCTTCTTGTCTATTTCGCATTATTTATAAAATAAGTTTCATTGTATTATAAGTGCACTACGAGCAGGCAAAGGATCGTTTCGTTTGCTGTTCAAATCAGTGCGACAATAATGGGCCCATGCTGAAACCTTGATTTGGATAGTCAGGGTTTGCAAATTGAGCCTCCATCATAACTTCAAAATGGAATTTGATGTATTGTCGGATAATGATATCAGTCAATTAATATTTAGTGACATAGGCAAGACGTGTTGTCATCAGAACTTAAAAAATTCCCTCTTAATGCTTAGCATTTAGACATTTTCGAAACGACGCTTCTATGTAGCCATAAATATTGAATAGGAATATGGCAAGCAAAACAGCCTGACTATTTAAAACGATACTCATAAGTTCCTTGAAATATTTACTGACCAGAATAAAACCACAATAGCGGATAATCTGTTTATAAAAATGATTCTATGCCCGTGATGTGTAACCTATGAAAATATTAGATACAGATCGAAGGTATCCGACATTGAGAAAGTGGACTGAAAAGCTGCAGGATGTATGAAAGTAGAAGGAAAATCATTTTCCGTGCCATTCAGATAATCAATGCGTGGGGATTCGAAATACTGAACTTAGCAAAATTTTTTGAATATATCGTCATCACACCGAAGAGAATACCATGTTTGTCAGTATCACTGCTCATTTATCTTCACTAATTCGATATTCAGAAGCTTTGCAGCTTTGAAAGGACAAAAATGTTAGAATTGGCAAAAAGCTGAGGGATAAAAAGCTTGTATTCTGAACATCTTGCTTAATGCCTGGCAAAGTCTACATTTAGACAAGCTGAAAAATGAAATGTGGAAGCGATGGAAAAGAAAATTACAGAATCTCAATGTTAGCAGTGAAGAGGTTCCCTCCGATATCATATCAGTTTCAGAGGGTGATTGGAATTAAAGTGGCCTACTGGCTGAAGAACAGACGTCTAAGTTGGTGGGGCCTTTGCCAGTGAACGGACAACTGCCTCCGTGCGAAGCGAGTTCTGAACACAAAGCCTGACGAAGGAGCTATGCCAGCAAATGCTTCAACAATATTAGAAGACCTCGTTAAAACTGTCGTGGAATCGAAAGGATTAGGGAATGAAAAAAAAATTATTCAAGCCAAATGGAATACTTTCTCAGCACCGACGCGTCGTCTGCTCTACCATGAAACAAAGCATTTTAAATTTACATCACTCTTTTTCAGTTTACTGTTCGAAGAAGGTCTCCAAAAGTTTGTGAAACTTTGGCTTTCTGCAATTTTTATTCATCTTGTTTCAGTGAACAGCTCCAGCTCATCCTGCCATCGATGTGGAGGTCTTCATAAAGGCCGTTTACTGCCGCTTAAAATCTGAATGTGATGTTTCCTTTTGAAACGCATCCTGCAAACCGACACTTTAACTTTTTTGTTCAGGCAAAAAGGAGACTTGCTTGTGCCCACTTATTCGTCCTCCTATCATTTCTTTTTATTTCCAACAAACACCTTTTCATGCTGCTTTGCACAATCTGCAATTCTTGGCCAACTTTCAGGATAGGGGTTTGTGTTCTGTATCCATTGTTTAGCACTGTGAGCACATTCTAATAGAAAACTTACCGTTGCAAGTACAAGGGCAGTTTCCTGCATAGGAACACCTTCAGTCTTCTCAAAGTGCTCCAAGCAACATTTGCTCTTCTGCTGGTTTCTGCCGGTTCTCCGTTGCCAAAGTTAACTGCTCTAGATAGACATAGTTATGAAAGATTGAAAATTTACTTGATTGACATCAGAAGGGAACTCAATTTTTCATCATATACAAAAATAGAAGATAATCACATAAGGGTTGCACAAAGCGAATAAGTAGCAGCACTATTTTACGCTATGAATATGAATATAAAAACCGTGACTTCTTCGATGTCGAACGCCGCGCAAGATTTCCGTTTCTGACACCTTCTGAAAATCTGAGGGGAGAATTTCGTACCGGACTTGCTGAATATTCGGAGCTTCACAGGAATATTGTAACCTGCTAATCATCTGCTGATCGACAGGAGATACGGTTGCAGTAAATCAACCCAAATGCAATAACGGAACGATAAATTGGAACAAAACAAGTATACAAAAAATGCACAAAACTTTTTAGCTTAATTGCCAGATTGGGCATATAATATGCAAAGTAAGCCAGGACGATTACCAATTAAACCGGGAAACGAAGAACTAAATACTCTACCCACCTGTTAATCGACTTAATGATCTTGCACTTCTTCAAGTCTAAATCCGTTGAGATCAGCAGATCATTGTCATGTATTTATTAAATATGATTTTGATTGTCTTCAAGTTCAGTTCAGCTTCGTTGCTAACTATTTAGTTTCTGGGTTTTCGACAGTTCTTTTAGTGGCTTTCAAAGGATCAGCATGTCAGCCGCGAGCAGTTTAATTAGTGCTCATTTATGTTCAGACTCCGTTTTTTCCAGTCCCCTGAAACTTTCATTTACATTGCTGGGAATAACTCTGGTGATATTGCAACACCCTTCTAGCGCCCTTTCCGATTTTGATCTTGCATGAGCTAACACTTGCACTGAACAGTTGCATTTTTTAAACGTTGTCATAGGGTCTCTATATCTTTTAATAATTTCATGCCTCCTCGTAAAATCAGCTACATAATGGATGTAATGTGAGTCGAAAGCTTTCTCTAAATTTTTTTTCAGGCAGGGAGGATGTTGATACTCGTTGCCTGTCTTAATTACTTGTTGTACCACCTTAAAAGGATCTCTAGTCATAAATTCACTTCTGAATCCTACTTGTCCCTTTATTTGTGTAGGGCCCAGTTTTATTTGAAGTGTGATCATCAGTACCTTCGTCTCAACGATGGCTTGTAATTCTTTAAAGCCGCTGTTATTTTCTATGTTACTCCCTGAGGCAATTCATTCCTCTGTAATTTTCAGTTTCTTCAGACAGCGTGAAGGCAAGCGCGCTATCTTAGTCAGTGCTTCAACATTGCATTCCACGAGTTCCGTGGTGATGCCTTCGTGAAGAACCTTTTCTCGTTTCATGTTATACTGCGTGTACTACCTTTTCTGGCGCAACATCTCAGAAATATTTTCGCAAACTTCATTTGCATGTTCACTCCTAATCGTCATGTGGTGCCGCTGTCTTCATGTCAATGCAGCTTCTTATCGAAATCAAACAATTTTTCATAATCTCCTGTTTATCCCTTACGACAATTCGGTGTTACAAAATTTTCAAAAAATTTAATTTTTTGCAAGCGATAGCTGTGGTCAGTGCTCCGTTACATTTTTCACTGCAAATCTAGATACGCAGTTGATACCAACAGATACATTCCTACGTTCCAAACGAGGAGAACAGGTTGGAAATTTGAGCAAAGCTGGTACACTAGATATCCCGTGTTTAGTCTAGGTAGCTCGAAGTAACCTACGTCTTTATTCGCATTTCTTGATATTGGCCACGTAGACAATATCGAGAAATGGCTTTGTTATGCTTCGAATAAGATTTTAAATTAACCGTGGTAAAAAATCTTTCGATCAAGGTCTGCTAAAAGACCATAATTCTGACAGACAAAAATGCCATATGACGTAAATAACACTTCCAGCTATGCACTCCAATACCTCATAAGACGATACCGATCGTCTAAGGATTCATGAATTTTTCACTTACCTGTTATTTACATCGAACAACATACATCCCACGCTCCTATGCAATAACGTACCTTGATCGTTTTACGTTCTTCATTGCGAGAGCGATTTCAGAAAGCAGCATAAAAACAAAGCAAATGAAAATGAGAGCAGCGACTTTCAGCACCAGTATTTCCGGCTAGCTTTCGACAGACTGTGCATCTTTAAAATAGACTTAAGACTAGGGGCTTCCGATAGACTATTAGATAGGTTTGGGGCTCCGGATGATGAATTGCACTTGTGCTATGTCCTCTTAAGATGAATCCAATTCGGTCTGAAACGTCGGGACTGTGTTTAACAAAAATTTTGTTGCGTAATTTGTGTTGAGGTGATATGTAATCACAGCTGGTTTAAGACTTTCTCTGCCGGTGTCTTCCTGTATCATACGCTATTCTTCCGGCTTTGCATAAAAAAGATTTCCATTGTGTTACGGTTTAAACAATAAACTGATTCTCTTGTAAAAAGACGAAAATAACTGTCACAGTTCAGTTACCATTTCTTGAGTTATATCACGTTATCACAGAAACCGTTTTTCGTGGCAGTGTCCATGACCTGAGCGAGATTAGATTCACGGACATAAAACACGATTAGATGAGGTGCATTTAAAAGAATTTTTTCTCGCAACAAGCTTATGTTAATAAAGCGATTTACAGCACAAATTGAAAATGCTCGCCATGACGGTTTCCATAACATTGCTTCACCGCGACTTTAACAACCACTAAAGGTACAAATGGAGAGGAAGGGAGAACCAGCGTAAACTCTGCGGGTGCTCCGTACGACGAGTCACACAGTATATGTGAAATTTCGGCTAAACTGTACAAAAATTAGACCGTCCACATACTAGAAGAGTAACGTCAAGGTTGCCGTGGATGGAGGCACCAACAGACGATGGTATCTATACTAAATTCTACCGTTGGCCGTTGAACACCAACCAATACCAGTTTCGGCAGTCCAGGTCGAATCTGTGTGAGAGCCACTGTCGCTGCAAGAATGCGTAGCGCTCCTCGCTTAAGAACAACGGCCTGCCACGCCTTAAGCACAAAATACATGTTAGCTATGAAGTGAACCAGACGAATAATCTGCCAATAAACAATTCGCGTACTTTAATTCACGATCCTCTTCACCATGGGCGTCCAAGTACAACGAACCCCATTCACAGACGCGTCGACCGCGCACCACCGAAACCACCGACGTTTGGACGGACAGGTAAACGGCGGTGCCTACGCCGCACTCGTTGCGATGGCTCTCGATCTCAGTCAGACCGTTCGCCATGCAGCAGTTGGCTGAATGGCACACTAGCGTTCCGCATAAGAGACAGATCAGCACTTCGCGCGGCGACGTTTGGCACGTGGGACATATGCGGTTATGATGCTGCCGGAAAAACACTTCGAAGCTTCTTGGCAAATCGATCATCTTCGGCAATATCCACGGGCGTGGAACCATACAACAAACCTGAAAGGAGAAGCACGTCATTCGAGCAGGAGGAAATGTGCGGAGGGAAGGTTCGGCACAGCCGTTTCGGCGCAGTCAAGCAGGTGGTAATTTGAATCTGCACATTTAACATATGCATTGTGTATGATCGCATTTATCCCTTCGTGTTACAACATTGGATATCTCTTTACGAGCAATCAACAACATGAAACTGTCGAATTCGAAAATTTATGTTACCACGTAGATTCCATGATCGTGATGACCGCCTGGGGCCATTAAATGAGTAGTAATGCGAGAGCAGACAGTGTTTTCACATTACTGAAAAACATTACAAGGCAGGATTTCGCTCCCACCCACCATTGTGTTTACCTCCTAACATTATCAAATCAATGTACAACTGGCTACAAGTAAAAGGCTTTCGTGACCATTTACCACTGGTTAAGTGAATGAACGATGGAGACGC